ATTGCTACAGGAGGAGTCGAGTTCCAGTTCAAACCACAGGGGGCGGAGCAATGCAAGCTGACCTTTACAGAATACTTTCTGAACTCATGGAGGGAGCCAGAGTGACTCAGGCAGTGTAATCCTGCGTCCATGCCACTGATAAACAAGGCGAATTCCCCCCCTCCACATGGATTCATTTATTGAGCAATATGTGCAAAACAAAAAGCAGGATGGCTTCCACTCTTCCCTTTCCTCTCTGTAGCAACCACACAAGACATTTCCTCCAGGATGTAGATTGCTTTTGAGCAGAATGTTTTCACGGGGGGGGGGGGGGGGGGGGGGGGCACACGAGCGTAACCTGGAGACCAATGACCAGACTCTCCTTAAAGCCAATGAAATCAGAGCCTCCAGGAGGGGCCCAAGAAACTCCACTTCTCACACACTCTCCAGACGCTTCTGGTACATTCCCTGGTTAACAATTAGAGATGATGACTGTGTGGAGTGCCTTCCCAGGAAGATGCAAACAGACACTAAGCTTAAGTACAATTTCAGTACCTGCACACACTACACTCCTCAAAGGCCTTCTATGGGCGTCTCTGGTTGGCAAAGTCCAGAGCCTCTTTTTGAGACACCATGTGCAGGCTGGAATTGAGACCTCAGACAGCCCCCACTGTCTCCTGTCACCAGGCCAGGTCACCCAGGCAGCCCACCAAGAGGCAGTGTGGTATGGTGGGGCCCCCTCACTCAGTTCCTTGGGCTACAAGGAAGAGAGCTGGAAGGGCTGAGCAGCCAGGGAGGGAGGGACAGGATGCCCTGGGCTGTAGGACATCAAAAACAGGACTCCCTCCCACCTGGCTTTTTGGCTTCTTCTATGGGTCTCTCTCCACAGACCGGCTTTCTTCTCCATAAGCAGGGAAATGTGGCCATCGACAGTGTCTAGGTTTTTTTTTTCTCACCACCAAAATGTAATTGTCCTCAAACATGTTCTAGGCTCAAATCTGATAATCCTGGGGAAGGTGTCTATTCATGCCCTGGGCTAAGAGCAAGGCTATGTTGGCTGCATTGTCTCCCTTGTGACCCCATCAGTGGTGGGTAGGGGGATTCCTGGAGGAAGTGGTGGGCAGGCGGTCCCAGGTGTCTACTCCATGGATTCACAGTGCCTAGACTTGAACCTGGTTACATTGCCAACCAGCTCCTGACCCTGAAGCTTAAGCTCTTGAGGTGCTGCCTCCCTATTTGTGAATTGGAATCCCCTGCTCACAGAGGCATGGCATCTTCCCCTTTACTCGACATTGCTAATTGCCTTCCAAATGTTTGACACTCCCTTGAGCCCTGAACTAGCGTTCCCGTCCTTCCACATCCTAGCCAATGCTTGATATTGTCAGGCTAATTAATTTTTTACAATCTAATAAGGTAAAAGTGTTTTTTTCTCACTTGTGCTATGTAATTTGCATTCCCGTTATTCCCAGTGAGGTTAAGCACATTTCCTTGTAGTTGTTGGTCATGTGGAGTTCTGTGAATTTCCCACATGTGTCCTTTACCCACTTCTCTGTGTGATTTGTCTCTCTTACTAATATTTGAAATTCTTTATATATCTCAACACAAATCCTTTGCTGGTGATATGGATGACAGATCTCTTCTCCCAGACTACAACTTGCCTTTTAACATTGTTTTTGCTATCTTTTATTTGTTTTGGTGCAGAAATGTTTAGGTTTAATGCAATATAGTGTATTCAATTTTTTAAAAGATTATATTTATTTATTTAAGAGAGAGCATGCGCAAGAGCGGGGCAGGGTGCAGAAGAAGGAGGAGAAGCATACTCCCCGATGAGCAGGGAGCCCAGAACCCTGAGATCATGATCTGAGCCAAAGGCAGACCCTTACCTGATTGAGCCACCCTAGTGCCTCTGTATTCAATTTTTTTTTCCTTTTAGGGTTTATACTTTTTGATTCTTTCCCGAAGGTCCCAATAATTGCCTTATTTTTTCCCAGTAGTTTGCATTTTTGCTTTTCACATTCATGACATGAATCCACTTGTGTAATATAAGGTGGAAGGACTCTAATTTCATCTTTCTCCCAGTGGTTCTAACACTGTATACCAAAAAGACCCTCCGTCCCCACTGACGTATAATGCCTCCACCATCATGAAGCAAGTCTGGGCTCTCCCTTCTGATTTACTGAACTGTTTCTCTATCCCTGCCCCAACACCAAACTATGTGAATCATTATTGTTTTGGGTTTTGGTCTGATATCTGGTAAGGTGAGACGTCTACTATTCTTAAGAACTGTCTTGGCTACTTTGCCCCTTTATTTTTCCAGTAGGATTTTAAGATCAGCTTAAATGGCCAGGTCAGGCAGTTTCAAGCAAGGAAATGGCGTGCCCAGCTTCTCATTTTTTCACACACTCACGTAGCTGATGGGGGTTGGGTTTCAGAGGCTCAGCTTGGAGGTAGAAGAAGTGTCAGGACTCAGACTAGGCAGTGACATAAGCAACAAAAAATGGGTGCGAGAGGAGGTACAGAATCTGGGAGCCTTGGTGTGTGGCAATTGAAGAGGAGGTAAGAAGAGAAGAGGCAGGGAAGCCTGGGGGGCTCAGTGGTTTAGCACAGCCTTCAGCCCAGGGCCTGATCCTGGGGACACAGGATCGAGTCCTGCGTCGGGCTCCCTGCATGGAGCCGAGCCTGATTCTCCCTCTGCCTCTCTCTCTCTCTCTCTCTCTCTCTCTCTCTCTCTCTCTCTCTGCCTCTCTCATGAATAAATAAATAAAATCTTTAAAAAAAAAAAAAAAAGAGAAGAGGCAGGTCATAGTCCGGGAGAACCCAAGACAACCCTGCCTTCCAGGCCAGGTGGCTGAGTGTGTAGAGTTGGAAATATAGCAGGAGGTTCCAAGTTCAGCCTTCCCTGATCTGAACTTCGGATACTTTAGGAAAGCTCAGGTGGAAGAGTCCTGTATATATTGGTCTCAGGTTCAGAAAAGTATACATTTTAGAGTTATTGGCATATCTAGTGAGTTAAAATCAAATCAAAACCAGGAGCCAAAGAGGGAGGCCTGTGTAGAAAACACCAGTGTGAGAGCTTGTTGGAGGATAAGGAGGCCTCTGAGGCAACAGAGTGACAGTGATGAAGAGACACAGGAAGAGGCAGGAGAGTGAGACATCACAGACACCCAGGATGTACAGCTTTTGAGAAGGATTGGTCGCTAGCTCCAGATGCTGCAGGCTCTGGGGAGAAGGATGATGGGTGTTCATTAGTTTCACAGAAAGGAGGAAATGTCATTGGGTATGGAAACCAGATTGCAGTGACTTGAGGGTTGGGTATAGGGGCAGAGGCAGAGCTATGAGGAACACAGGCCTCTAGGGGGTTCAACTGGCTGGAATGAAGATGGGCCAAGAAGCCTTATTTCACAGAAAAGAGATGAGGGGGAAGGGGCCAGAGAAAGGAGGGGAGGCAAAGACGTGAATTCTCAGAACAGGTAGAACTAGGAGGAGACCAGTCCCAGGTCCAGGCACAGCAGGGAGATGCATGTGGATGGGGGCACCTGTGGCGATTGCAAGGCTGGAGCTTTTCTCATGGATGTGGAGAGTCACATCACTTGAGAGGGAGAGGTCTAGGAGTTGTGCAAGGGACTTAAGGACAGGGGGATTGGTGATGGGGTGCGAGGGATCATGAGTGATCTGAAGGAGGAGGTGTCTGTGCACTATGAGATGTGGAAAGGGAGCAAGGGTGACAGTGGGAAGTGGGAAGTCTTTGCCCAGACCATGTGTGTTCCTCTGTCTTCTGAGCCTTCAGGGAGGACAGAAGGGAGCTAGACTTTCTGCAGTGACAGGCTGGGAACTAGAGATGAAAATGAGGATGAGCAAGCACGCTGGAGAACAGGGACCCCTTAGGTCCCTTGTGGACCTACAGCATCTTGTGGTGGAGGATCTGAAGCCCTGGGTGGACCTCAGGCCATACAGAAGAGAAAGTTCCCCCACATGGCTAGGCAGCAGCTCCTAAACTTACTGTGTGTCTGATAACGTTCTGCAGGGAGCAGCCCAGCTCCTTTGTGGAAGTGCTGGCTGCTATTTCCAGCATCTGTCCCAGGTAGCCAAGGTTAGGCTAGCAACTGGATCCTCTCCCTTCAAGACCTCCCTTCCCAAGCCACAAAAACAAAAGGGTACAATAGTAGATAGGACCATGCCCCTCAAATTACAGCCTTGGACATGGCCCACACTAAGGATTCTGCCTCAGTCTCTGCATTCGGCACCCAGTGTGGTTTGTGGGCCTGGCTCTCATGACCTCCCATGGATCCCATGACTGGAGCTGGGGAGGACATGGTAATAATGATCAGAATCAAACGAGTAGGAGCACTGTCTGTGAAACTCCATGTACATGACCTCATGACCTCCCAACCACCTACAAGGTCAATTGAGTTCTTCCCACTTTTCAGATGAGGAAACCAAGGCTCAGGGATGAAGTTAAGTAACCTATCTAAGGTCACCAGGCAGTAATCGATAGGCTTCCCTAGCCATGCCCCACCTCCGTAAATCTGCTGCCTCCCCTGAGAAGCCCTCCATGCCCTTTTGTTGACTGAGCAGGCAGAGAACAGGAAGTGCTATAGAGGCCCAGGGCATGGGCACTGGATTTGGACTCAGAAGACACACTGTTCAGCCTCAATTTTCACCCAGCTCGGTGGCCCTGGATAAGTGTTGCCATGGGGAAACCAGGCTAGGCTGCTGGTCCCCACGTCTAGCACCCCCCCCGCACCCCCACCTCCATCTGCACATTCACCCCTGTATTAGCCAGTGGCACTGCCTGGTTGAGGGGCATCATGCATAGCAGGACACTGGCCATCTTGACAGGCAGTTCAGAGGCTGGTTATCCTGCCAGTGAGAGATCAGTGTCTCATGAGTGGGAAACCACGAGGTTTCTGTGAACCATGCCCTGCACACAACAGCCGGGTCTGGTGCCTTACCCCCCCGGGGCCCCCTCCTCCGAGCATCTGCAGCCCAGCCCCGACCATTGCTCTCTGCTCTGTTCACAGGCCCCTCCACTGGCTCCAGTTCTGCAAGGTTCAGCCGACGGCCCACCTGTCCTGATGCATCTGTGGCTGGCAGCCTCCCCACACCCCCTGTCCCAAGACACAGGAAGAGCCACAGCCTGGGAAACAAGTGGGTGACTGAGCAGACCCCCCCCCAACCCCCACCCACTATGGGCTCCAGACTAGATTGAGCTGGGGCATGGGCTCCTTGGTGGCTGGGAATGTGTGACCACTGGGGGGCTCCCTTAGCCATCTGCTGAGTTCATCTTCCTGAAGGCTGGTCCCTCCCTTCAGGCTGGCAGGGGCTCTGGAAATGTCTTAAAGCACCTGCCAGTGTTGGGGCTCAGAGTGTCTGCTTGCCAGTTGTCTCAGAAAGCCTGCAGAGCAGTGAACCTGCCACTAGTTTGCCCAGCCTTATGGGACTGACAGCTGGGGGGCACGTGTGGACCTCACATGGCTGGGGCAGCCATGCCTGTGTCCCTGGGGTGCTGGTCACAGACTCTCGAACAGTTGGAGCCCTCTTCCCCCTGTTCTTTCCTCCTCTCCTTCCCTCTCTTCCTCTTTCCCTTCCGTCCTTCTCTCTCTCCCTTCCTTCCACCACTAAGACACAAGCCTCAGTCAGCTCAAGCTGGCCTTGGAGTCACTCAAAGACTGGGTGGGGGGTTGCTCTCTGAGTGTCTAGGGCTTGCTCTGTGTTAGATAGTCTGATACATGCCTGTCAAGCACTATATCATTGAGTCCCTGCAGGCCTCCCAGGTAGGTGCTATAGTATATACATTGTAAGAAGGAGTCCTGTGAGGTTCAATAGGTTGAAGTACTTCACAATGGTAAGTAAGGTTGGAACAAGAATTTGAATCAGATGCGTGGCTCCAGAATCAGGCACGCTGCCCACAGGGTCATGCTGCCCCTTCACTTGTGTGGCTCCATCGTTCACAAGTGCTGTCCACTCACTTGAGCTTTGTCATCATCCTGAGAGACAGACAGGGCAAGTATCGTGAGCCCCCATTTGACAAATGGGGAAACTGAGGCTCAGAGACAGGATGTGACTTGCCCAAGGTCATGCCATGAGCTAGGGCAGAGCCTGGACTGTGCCATAATTCTGGGTGGAAGTCTTTTTCCTTCAGCTGCACCATCTGCTCAAGACCCCAGGGCAGGTGTACTCACTGTTACTCTGAGGATAAGGAGCTTTGCCTTCTTTCTTCCTTTCCATTTTCCAGTATGATGTGTCAGTTGAGTGTAGTTGAGAGTAAAAGTGCGACATTCCCATCGGAGAAAGCGAGGCACCTGCTGGACGACAGTGTCCTAGAGTCTCGCAGCCCCCGCAGGGGCCTTGCCCTCACCTCCTCCTCTGCCGTCACCAATGGACTCTCCCTAGGTAAGCGTCTCCGGCCTGCACATGACAGCAGGCAGGCCACAGTCCAGCGTGTACTCCATGTCTGTCTCTGTCACCGTGCAGCGCCCGGTGGCCCCTCGCCCCCTGCAGAAAGGTCCCCCCACAGGAGTCGCCAGAGCCAGGGAGGCCTTTGATTCCTGGTCTCCAGGACTTCACGAAGTGCCCTGGGTCTGTCTCATCTTGTTGGTAGCCCTGAACATGGCAGGCAGGTGGAAGGAGCAGCCAGATGCACACCTGAGACCTGCTGTCATTGGTTGGCAACTGCCAAAGCCTGGCTGCTGCCCCAATGAGGCTTGTGTCCTGGGGGAGCCACAAGGCCCAGTATACAAGGCCAAGTGGGGGAAACTGCCTGGAGACAGCAGCTGGGTGGACCACCGGGTTCTTCTTGTGTACTTGTCTTCACACTGAGAAGCCAGAGTTAGGGAGGATGAAAAATTGATCTTCAGGGATAAAATTGCATGTCTGAGCTTTAGCCAGAAATGGTACTTATGTCAGTGGGAGGAATGGAAACTGAAGTGCTGAGGCTGGGATGGAGAGACGTTGAGCCAGAGCTGAGGACACTGTTGAGCTCTGGTCACAGGCCCGCCCCCCTGCAGTGCCGTCATCTGTCATTACTGCCATCAAACAAGTGCAGTCTCCACTGGCTGTGCCTTTTCAGTGTGCCTGTGCTTCCATAGTCTGTGTGTCTGTGTGTCTGTCTGCTTCCCTTACCTGGGAGCCCTCCTAGGCCTGTGGCAGCTTAGACAGTTGCCAGGCTGGGGTTTGATCTGGGTACTGTCTACAGGGTGGGGGGCCCCTGAGCACTGGGAGGAAGGGGAAGGGTGGGAATTCCATGTCGCACATCCCTGTGAAACAAGGCCAGTCTCTGAGGCGGTGTCACTGCAAGGACAGCTGTCTCCTGCCCCCGGAAAGGCTGTAACAAGCAAGGTCTGTGTCTGCCTTCTCACCTGGGAGGAAGTCATCATTATTGGACCCCATCAGGGCTTTACCACAGCTTAGGACAGTGTAGCCCATGGTTCATAGGTGTCAATGTGTTGGGGAGAAGAATTCTGGGGTCAGTATGTTGGAGAGAGGCTGGGTTGAATCAGGTAAGCAGGTCCATTCTCAGAGACTCGAATATGCCAGTGGGGGATTATGGATCCCCATAAAGGCAGTAGAGTCTGCAGGTTCGCCCAGCCTGGTCACAGAACCCTTTTCCTTGGAGTGTCCTGGAATGGGATAGGGAATGAGATGAGGATGAGGTTCTGAGGAGCCAGTCTGGGAAATGCCAGCCCCATAGCGTTCAGCTGGGCAGCAGGACAGCTGTTTTACATCCAGGAAACTTTCTGAGCTGTGCCTTAGCCCAGGCCTTGCTATTCCTGAGACAGAAAACCTAGTCAGGCACGACAGGAGATCACCAGGCAATTTGGTTCTCGGTTCCTCCTCTTGGGAAATGTAGATGTTTTTCCGGATGGAGCTGAAAGCCCAGGAGCAAGCTGTCATGTGTGCATGTGCCCTGTTTGGAGCCCTCTCCACCTGGTGACTCCCAAGGTGCTGGAGACCTCCTCCCTTCCCCTCTCCCCCTGCCCAGAGTTGATGCCAGCAGACAGCCCAGGCCAAGTGTTGAACTGAGGGAGAGTACAAAGGCACTCAGCAGCATGCTGTTAACAGGTGTCCCAGTCCACCCCAGAGGGGCAGCCGGGGGAGGTGGAGCCTCTCTTGTGTATGCTGGCCAGGTGAAGGACCACTTCCTCAAGGCTTCTGTCTAATGCCAGGCAGCTGCTCTGTGACATTCCTGGCCCTTGGGAGAACAAGTGCTCATTTGGCCCCTGTCTTCACTAGGTGAGGCTTGTTCTACCACTGGTTTCACTTGGACCAGGAGGAAGGCAGTGGTAGGGCCAGGCCAGGCCAACACAGAGGCCAAGGGGCACAGAGCTTGGTGGGCGAGTGGGCAGGCAGCTGCAGCCTTCAGAGAGGCAGCAGGGGGCAGCCCGGGTGGCTCAGCGGTTTGGTGCTTCCTTCAGCCCAGGGTGTGATCCTGGAGACCTGGGATCAAGTCCCACTTTGGGCTCCCTGCATGGAGCCTGCTTCTCCCTCTGCCTGTGTCTCTACACCTCTCTCTCTCTGTGTGTCTCTTGTGGATAAATAAATAAAATCTTTAAAAAAAAAAAAAGAGAGGCAGCAGGAAGAGAGTGGAGGACCCTGGAACAGTGGGAGGGCATAGTTCTTTTGACTCTCCCAGGAGAATGAGTCAGAAATAGCAGCAGCAAAATCCCAAGTTACACAGTTGCCCACAGGGCCAGAAAGCTGTTTCTCTGGCACTTCTGTGGAGCTCAGGGGCCTGAGCCTGCTGGCCCAGGAGAATAGACTCCTTTGGGATTGTCCCCTCTTCTGTGAGGCTGCCATGTTCATTGATCTGTGTTCCTTTTCCAGGCAGTAGTGAGAGCTCAGAGTTTAGTGAAGAGATGTCTTCAGGGCTGGAAAGGTGAGTGTGGCCTCAGCTCAGCCTCCCTCCCAGGGTGGCACTCAGCGCTCCGGGAGGGGACCAACCCCCACCCCCACCACCCCTCACTGGCCCAGCCTGGGGAGGCTGCTCTGTGGCTCCTCAAGTCAGTTCGGACCAGGGGTAGGGCCCACTCGGAGTGAGGGGTGGAAGAGCAGGATGGGTGTGGGGTGGGGGTCCCAGCCCCATGTTCTGAGCAGCCCCACTCATCATCCAATCCAGAGCTAGCCCCAGGAGCCCGAGGCCAGCACCTCTTCCTTAGGCCGAGCTGCTGAGGAAACCTGCGAGCAGATTTGGTCTGAAATGTGGGTTTTTAAAACCAGAAGCCAGAGATGGGCCTGGTGTGGAGATGGGCAAGTGGCTCCGCCTGGTGGGATCTGAGAGTGTTACACTCCCATGGCCTCAGGCCTTGGGCTGACCCAGCCCAGGGTTTGGCTCCCTATGGTGAGCCCTTCTGCCCCAGGAGTGGGGCCTCCTGCTCAGGAATCCACCCACTGCATGTACTCCACATGCTGAGGCTTTCTTTGTGCCAGGCACCAGGCAGGCTCTGGAAAGACGGACTCCGGATAGGGAGCTCCGGATAGGGAGCTATGGTGCCACCAAAGGTGAAGGACAACACAGTGACTCTAGGTCTGAGGAGAGGCAGAGAGAAATCCACTGACACAGAATGCTTCAGGGAGGCAGGTTTGCACCACCCTTCAGAGTAGCCCTGCCACCAGCGTGCAGAGACCTGTGCACACAGACAAGTGCACACACACAGTTATGTACACTCTACACACACACACACACACACACTTACACACAGTCTCCCACATGCATTTGATACATGTTTTACAAGAAATGCTGTGTGTACACATCCATACATACACTTGTGTACTCACACCTATGTAGGTATACATATGCACGTGTACATTCACACAGCTCACACGTATATAGACCTCACACATGTGTGCATACTCTATCTCTCTCTGTCTCACACACACTCACACTCTCACACTCTCCACATTCCTCACTTCTCTGGTGCTGAAGCTTCCTGTCTCATCAGTCCCCATAATCATAAAATGGCCAGAGAGGAGATGAACACACCCAGCCAGTCCTCACAGGGCAGAGGGATGTAAGTGATAAGTCATAAGTGATCTTTGTTGAGCATACCGTGTGTGCCAGGTGCTATCTTGGCCTCATCGAATCCTCAAGCACTTCTACACAGTGGTTATTCTTAGTGTCCCCATTTTACACCTATGGACAGTAAGGGTCAGAGAGGTGAAGTGACTCGTCCTGCTTCACGCTCCTTTGGTAGAGCAAAGCTGACCCAAATCCACATCCTCCTGACTGCTGAGACCACCTCTTTACCACTATGCTTCTGGCCTCATCCAGAGGGCCATTGTGACAGGCACAGGGCCTGGCCCCATGTCATTTGGTCAGTGTGGCACCTTTGTGAGACCCTAGATGGAGATCTGGAAAAGGGAAGGAACACCAACATGAGCCCTTGGAACCTGCTCCCTCTGTCCCTGCTGAAGGACTCCTGGGGGGATATTTGCTCTGTTCTTGATTGGGTTGCTCAGGCCAGTAAGCCCCATTGCCTGCGCCTTAGGGCCAGCCCAGCAGAGGAGATGAGAACCAGGCAGGCTCTAGGGTAGACTCCAGATCTGATGAGCAAAAGTCTGACTTGTGTCAGCATCAGTCAGGGGACTCCTAGGAATGCCCTGATGGACAGGGCTCACAGGCAAGCCAGTGTCCCCTGGCCATAGGCCAATGAGGGGATACTCAGGGGGAAACTTGCAGGCATGGCACCAGGATCCAGACCTGACCTTATACACTGGTTCATTCACCCCCTCATTCTCTCATTCATTCAATCAGTGGATGTTTATTAAGCCATGGCATCCTGCCAGACACCACACTAGTCACTGAGGGCAACAAATACTGCTCCTGATGAGTACCTATGACCCAGACCAGAGCCACCAGGAAGGAAGACTGTGAGGGTTCCTGACCCCCTGTAGGTTCGCTATCCTTAATCAGTAGCGAACCCTGTAAGATACAGCATTTCTGTTTTCTCTCTTTCACTTAGAATTTGGCATTCTATTTACTCTACATTGGAATGTCCATAGTAGGTGCCTTTTGGGTGGGACCTCCTGCTTGAACTGGTCTCCCAGCTGGCTCACCTGTGCAGCTGCCCAGCCCTGCCTCCAGAAGCCCTCTGGGAGAACGTCCTATTTCTCGTTCTCCTAGCATGATGAAGGAAGCAGGAGACCACCTGCTTTGGAAGATGCCAGTGGGCTAGGATGAGCTCTCTAGTCCACTCTGAGACTCAGGCTGACCCCTGGCCTCCAGCCCCTGTGGCCCAGCCTCCAGTCTGCATTTCCATCTTGTACTAGCTTCTTTCCATGTCCACTAGAAACAGTTCACTGCCTCAGATGCATGTAAGCATTTGAGACTTTCCAAAAGAACCATGGGTGAGCCGGAGGGGAGGGTCTGCCTCACGGTCTTTGAAAACTTTTGTTAAATGCCACTCTTTCTGATACAACTCGGTGACCACAGTTCACTGTGCCACCTGGGCCTCCCTTCCTCACCTTCACCTGCACAGTGCTTGGCCCCACTGGGGCCTCCCTTCACTCCCAGGCCATTTCGCTCCTGCTCTACAAAGGGGAACAGATTCCCTCTCCCTGGAAGTCAGGGCCACCCTGCCTGGGCCCAGAGGCCAGCATCTGCCCTGAAAGAGCAGCCAGAACACTCTTCAGCAAAGCAGAGCTTCCCATCTCAGAGACCCACCAGCTGGTCCTGACTGATGATGCTGTGAGAACACAGCCTTAGCTCTATACTTTCACACTTGCATGGGTGGACTGTGACCTCAACCACAGCTAAGAGTATAGGAGTGGGCTGGCCCCTCCCACAGGAACGAGGCCAGGCTAGGGCCAGGGCAACACCTTACCTCATAGCTCTGAAGCCTAGGTTCCACACTCTTCAACTGACTTGTTGACCAGGCCCCAGCCCTGGTGACAACCTTGACCCAGGCCAGGAAGAGAAAAAGAGCCAAATACCAGCTAGAGGATAGGGAGGTCCCAGGCCAGAGACCCCTGGAGCCAACACATAGCCCTCCATTGGTCTGCAGACACATCTTAATCACTCTGTATGCCACTGTGGCCAGGCAGGAAGGAGGGTTCCCATTGTCTGATGAATGCGAGGTCATTTGGCCTTGTCTCCAGGTTTGCTTTCCCTGAGATCACACACATGGACATTTCAGCCTGGTGGCCAGAGCTCAGGCTACACCTGGTGCTTTCCTCAAGTGGCCAGCCTTCACAAGCACCCATGATGGAGCCCACAAGAGTCATGGGGACCCTTTGCCCTGCTCTCTGTGGGAGTGGGCCAGGAGGTAGAATGGCACCCCCACTGACCCTGTTCTTGCTAGGACTGTGCATTGAGAGCTCAGGGACAAAGAGGACCTCCTGCTGCCCATCTCATCTGCTGTCCCTTCTTATGTCTCAGCCTCAGCAGGGCCGCAGGCTGAGGAGGAGTGAGAACAGACTAGCCATGAGGTGGCCAGACCAGGTAGGGGTTGGTTCGGCTGTTCTAAAAACCCTCCCCTATCTTCTGGGCTCAGAATGAGGACAGAGCAGTGGTCCTGGGTCAGGGCCCTCAACAACCAGAGGCCAGAGTCCCTGGGGCGACGGGTAAGGGTGGGCCCCCTCCTCTCTTAAGACTACCTCATGTCCCAACCTGTACCTTTCTCACCTCAGTGTCCTGGGTTGAGGAGGATCCCATATCACACCATGCTTTCCCAAGGAAAGAAGGCAGGCAGCCCTGAAAAGGCATTTTCAACATGTACTTAATTAACTGGAAACTAGGGACTGTGGACATTGCCATAGGCTAGCCTCGAGCAAACCTCAGGCTTCTCAGAAATTCAAGAAGGAAGGGAATATTTTAGTCAGGCCCATCAGAAAGAGCTAATAGGTGCTTCTTTTTATGCCCAATGTGGCACCAAAGTGAGAATAAAAATATTAGCCTAAGAGTTAATAATTTTAAATGAAGTTCTTAAAAATTAGGAACAAAATGGATGAGTGAAGTGAACATATATGTATGTACAAAAATATGTAATGTCACTAATCTTAGTTCTTTCTGGGTTCTAGGGTCACTGAATGAATTTCTTTCCTTCATTTTTTTTTTCTATATTCTCCAGATCTGCTACAATGGGTACATGTTTCCTTTATGCCCAGAAAAAAATTAACTTTTTAAAAAATATAAAATCAGAAATGTTTACTGATTGCTTTTTAAGAAGTAACATAGGAAAGTATGTCACAGAGTTCATCACGAAACCCTTGGCCATCCATCTTCTCTACTCTGACATCAGCAGTGTGTGAGGAAGGGCGCTATCGCAAGAGAGACAGCCCAGAAATACAGGTGGTGGAAAGACGAGGAGGCAGAGGGATCCTTGGGAAGAGACAAGAGTGACAACCCTCTCTGAAGCATAGCTGTTTCTCCTTCCTTCTCAGGGAGGTGAGGGATACAGGGGATCTAGTCGCAGCTCACAGTCGGGTTGGGAGAGAGAACAAATCAATGATGCCAGGTCCACAAGGGTCTGGAAGTTGTGCAGCACTCAATGGGAGTGTCCAGTGCAGTGACCCGAGTCAGACTGAGGGGTCAAGAGTGGCTTCCAGTAGTGGCGATGGTTACACAGTAGCCCAAGGACATCGGTTAAGAGGATCACAGTGGGGCCTCAAGAGGGATCCCAGGATCTAAGGAGGCTCCAAGGCCTGAGTTGTGTGCCAGGATTAGAGAGGTGGCCCAGGGATGCTTGGTTTGGCTCTTAAGAGTCCCTGCCGGAGAGGGGGACTCCATGATGTGTCTTGGTCTCTGAAGTTCTTAGTGTGCCTTTGCATTGAAAGATCATGGTCTGGCTTCTCTACACTGCCAGCAGTGCTAGGAGGGGCCTGAGGTCAGGATAGCTTGCTCCCAGTGACCTTGGGTGTGTCTCTCAACCTCTGAGCCTC